CCTGGAATGGAGATAAGAAACGCCCTAACCTTTGAAATAGAGATTGATAGGATTGGAATCAACTGGTATAAATACAGATGTAAGAAGACAGAACCTACACTCAGAACCTAGACACAGAACCTACATAGAACTAGAGACAGAAGAACTTCGCTGGAGAGAACATGGCAAAAGATCCTGGACTGAACCTGACTACAGAAATGGGCAAGAGAATCTGACTAGAACCTGGTGACTGAACCTGGCTGGAGAACCTGGACAGAACCTGGCTGGAGAACCTAGCGAGGGAACATGGACACAGAACCTGGCTGGAGATCTGAAGCAGAACTTCGCTGGAGATCCAGACCAGAACTTGGCTGGAGATCCTGGCTAGGCTGCTGATCAACTGAACACTGTCTCCGTGTCCTTCCTTCTTCGCCGACTCCGTCCACACCTTTGGGGAACCCCTGGACCTGCTGGGGTTGGACCCCGGCATGCATATATATCTTGTTATTGCTAATTTTTTCTAATTGGTTTTGGAGCTTTAGATTATGGGTGAAAATTGTTGATTATAGGGCATACTGGAACATTAACTTTATCCTTTTGTTGCAAGTCTATTTAATAACTGCAACTTTCCCACTTTAGGGGCAGGCACAATTCAATACATACTGGAAGTTCTAAGAAATGTCTCATGTATCTGGAAACTAATACCACATTTTCTATTCCTCAAAAGGACACAGTAGGGTTTTAGTTCTAATTCTCGCTTTGCCCTTGCATAGTTCTACAGCATTCTGTGAAGACTGCCCCAGGGGAGGACAGGGTTGGTAGTAATCCCAATTTCTTCATAAAAGGGTCTGTGGATGAGTTTCCAGGTAAGCCTGAACAGGATCGAGGTCACCCCCTGAACCTCTCACTGATTATCCAGTGTGCCTCCAATTCTATTTTTGCAGGAGGAATCTAACGTAAAGTAGCACCTAAACAAAGGTGAATTTTGAGTGACACCAGCAGTCTCCTATAAGTAAAATAGTCCCTGAACAAAAAACGTGGTGGACACGATTGTGTGGGCACTGGGAAGGAGGTGGGGCGTTGCCCACATCTCAGCCGTCTGACGTGGCTCTTTCCTGCAAACCCCCAGCTGCGCATGCTCTTCGACAGCCAGCAAATTCGGGCCCGCTGATGGGATGCTGGCCAGACGCTAGCTAAGTGCCTGTGGCCCAGGACGTCCTAATTAAATTGTGGTGAATCCATTTTTTTCTTGGAGCACTTCATATCTTTATGAGTATAAAAGCATTTTTCTATCTGGAGTCCCACCTCCCTCTTGGAATTCTGCATGTTATATGCTACAAAGGGAACGAAATAAACTTGTTATCTGGACTGTATTGACTTTATGATCTAAGACAGGAACACTGATATGGGAGCAGCTGAATGAAAAGAAATAGGCAATCCGTATCTGAGTGTCAAAATACATTTTGTCATCTAGAAGTAAAGGGTAAAGTGTCTTAAAGAGCAAGCTACCAGAAAGAGTTGGGCAGAAACTAACAGTATGGGACTGTTACGGTCAGGGCTCTGTGGCCAGCATTTCCCAGAGGATCATAGTTAAAGCCCTTGGGATTTTCCATTGTCCGGTACTGCTTCCCCTTCGATGAGGTCATCTGCTTTGAGACATGATAAGAGAATTGGGCCTGGACATTTTAGTTCTATCTATGTGCCAACCTTCTTGAAGGCAGGGACCATGTCTTAAATTTCTCTCATATTTTTCCCCAGCATCTGGACTGGTGTTTGGTCAGTTGATATTGAGTAATAATTTTCGAACCAACCCAGAAGGATAAATATGCTGTCTAGGCATTTGGGGAAGAGGGAAGGGTATCTGTGATTGACATGTAGCCTTCCCCAAAGGTTTGCATAAGGGCCCAGGTGAAGCAGACCAGGCATTGCCGAGTGCGTAGGTGGGACATGCATGGCGAGCATGCCTTGGACAGGGGAGTCAGGAGTCTAAAGAGCAGTTGCGTGATTGAGGTTCATGGAATCGGGGTGATGTTTATTTTTTTTTGTGTGTGTAAATCAGTGGAAGACTCGGGTGTTTAGATGTGCAAGGAATATGGGATGATGTGGCAGCCCTCTGCCAGGTAGTGTGGAGGGATGCTTCCCACAGCCCAGGGAGGGTTGGCGAGGATCAGGACGAGGGTGGAGGTAGTTCCAATAGGAAAGAGCAATTCAAGACACACCAGGAAGGAAAAACTGACTCGGGCACACCCAGGTAGACAAGGAAGAGTCAAGATGACCTCACGGTGTTCCTGTTCCTGTTCCTGTTCCTGGGCTTGACAGAGGTTGGAAGGTGTCCATGGCTCTGGGCATGGAGGGCAGGAGGGTAGGGTGTGGTAGAGTTGGGAGAAACGGCAGATGCTACTGAAACTCCTTGTCCCCAAAGGCCCTTTAATCAGCAAAACCATCACCTGGTAGAGATCTGTGATAGGATGTACAAGTTTTCACAAAGTGACTCCTGGAAATGATATACCAACTTAATTTTTTATGGAAGTTTGAAAAGTGGTAGAACTTCTTGCCAGCTCTTCTTTCTGTTGGCAATCACGGCACCCTTGGAAGAAGTGAATTAGAAGCCAGTTGACTGAAAGTGTTGCAGGATTGCTTGCATCTAGTGAAGCTGTCTTCTGATTTTCTTGTCGCTTGAGTGACAAAACTTGCCGATACTTGAACTAGATTACTAAGCAAACAAAACTAAAGCTTCATTAGAATGTATGAGATTAAGAGAAGTATGTAGTGTATGTATTTTTCAATTTTCTTCTAATTTTATTCAGGTTGGTTTTCCACAGACTTTTAATGTCTACATTAGAAAACCCATTACTTGTTGATTTTTAAAATATATATAATTGTTTTGATTTCAGAGAGGAAGGGAGAGGGAGAGAGAGATAGAAACATCAATGATGAGAGAGAGAATCATTGATTGGCTGCTCCTGCATGCCCCCTGGGGATTGAGCCCATAAAGTGGGCATGTGCCCTTGACCAGAATTGAACCCGGGACCCTTTAGTCCACAGGCTGACACTCTGTCCACTGAGCCAAACCAGCTAGGGCTACTTGTTGATTTTTAAAACCTGGACTAACTGATCTGTGATTTCAGAACAGCTCAGTGCTGCGTTTTAAAAATCAAGCATTCGGAATACCATCGAGGCCAAAATGACTCAGTGAGAAAGTGTTTCTTAAATTTCAGTCACTGTTAAATATCCAAATGACAGTGCGGGTGTGTTGGTAACTCCAGCTCTCAAATCAGAATTTCACACTTTTTCTTAAAACACCAGAGGACCGTATTCTAAGCATTCAAATGAAATCTTGCAGGAAACACCATTGGTTATAGAAAGGCATTTTATATTCCAAGTCACAACACACACACACACACACACACACACACACACACACACACGCGCGCTTTTGTGGTTGTTCACCAAGTTCATAGGCTCGTCCACATACAGGTGCCAGAGACCAAGTTTCCCTTTCTTGTTAGTAAGTGTGACCATCTAGTGACCTCAATTAGGGGGGGCATCACAGCGCTCACAAATCTAAGAATCACTCCATTATCCACGCAGAGCAGGTCAGTCCTCCTTTCCCCTGCACCAGCTGAGATTTAAGTAAGTGCCCATCGATCAGCCTGACGTCTGGCTCTCGTTTTCCATAAATGAAGGGCTGTGGCTTTAAGTGATCGCAGGCTGCCTGTGCCAAAGGCACTCGCTGCAGCATCAGCCTGTGTGCGGAGAGGCGAGGCGAGGCGGCAGAGGCAGACGCTAACCTGCAGGACCAGAAGTAAGGCTAACCCAGGACCAAAGGCCCGCCTCCCGGCAGAGCTGCCTCCCGGTAGAGCTTCGGATGTAGACACACCGGCTGGTGGGTGGCGTGGCCACCTGTGCGCTTTGCGGGCAGTGCAGGGGGTGGGGGGATTGGAGACAGAAGCTGGAAAATGGGCTGCTCCGGCAGCAAAATGTGCCTCTATTCTCCATGTGCGGCGACAAGGGTAATTAGTATTTGTTTCTAGTGCTTTTCTGGAGGAATGTCAGGGACGGAGGCAGAGATCTGTGGAATGAGGGGAAATGCTTAGTGACAAGTGACTCCCGCCTGCAAAGGCCGGTCTCGGGATCTCTGCAACACTGTGATCGAGATGTGGTGGGGGCTCCTCTGGGCTGCTCCGAGGGGGGCATTTTCAGGGAGCTGTGACTCCCGCCTTTTCCTCCCCCCCCCCTGGGTTGGGGGCTCTGCCTGGTGAGGAACGGTATCTAATTGCTGTGTCTGTGTGAGTGTGTGAGCATGTGTGATGGCTGTGAGTTGCTGGTCGCTGGGAAATTCTTTCTGGCGAGATTGAAAACTGCTTTGTCACTACCGAGACAGCTGCCTGCTTTTCTTCGATTCACTTCTCTAGCATCTACTCAAGAATTGTAGCGGATTCCGAATGTTATCATCTTCAGAAAACCGTGTGTCTACTAGCTGAGTCAAGTCAGTTTAGTTTTGTCTTTATTAAAGGATTATTTTTTTCGCCTCCGCTTTATAACAAACTTCGTGTCTTCCTTTTAGAAGTAAAGGACTGTGACAACTTTTTTTTTATGAGTATTTGCAAATACAGGACAAAGTGCGCACAGGCGCAGATGCCGGGAACATTAAATATTTATCTAGGACTGATTAGGCCTGGCTTGCCCTTGGAGGAGGAGACTGCATCACGTCTTCAGCGCAGCGCGCATCCGCATCCGCGGCAAGGCTTTGCCCGGAGCGCGGCTCAGAGTAAACATTTCTCAGTGCCTTCCGTGGAAGTGTCACGAGGCCCTGAGAAAATACAGATATTTTTGGGGGGAACTCGGATTTCCTTCACGGAGGGACAGCTGTGTTTTCGAACAACACACACTGTTAGCCTAAACGATTCACATCTCAGCCTCTCAGTGCGGAGTCTCGTCTTTCGGGTGATAACAAATGTGCGCCTCCCTGAAAGGGACCCCCCTGACAGCCGGAGTAACCTGATGTTTGTCTTCCGCAGCGGGAGGAAGCCCTGCAACAGCACAAAGCCCTATCGCAAGAGCTCCTGAGCCTCCGGGGAGAGCTGGGTAAGAGCTTTTCTTCTTGGGGAGGGTTACGGGGCGAGGGGCAGACTGGCCAGTGTGGTCTGTCCGTCTGCATTGTGGCTGGAGTTGCCACCTCTGGCATCACTGTGCAAACACTTACCACCGGCATTTCTTTTGAATCTTGGCAGCCTGACCTGCAGTTCACAGAATTCCTGGCACTGCTCTGATGAAGCCTAGCAGAGCTTCTGATGACCAAAGCATTCCTCTCCCCAAAGACAGGAACAGGCGCCTTTTTGTAATCGTGAGGGTTCCTGTGCAATCATTCTGTCATATTATTTCCCGAACCACTTTTCCCACGGAAGGGTGGTGAGACAGTCCCCTCATAAAAGGGATTGCGGCACGCTTCCTGGGGAATGGGTATGGGGGGTGAGTGTAAAGTGTCTGGAGAAGGCTCGTTTCTGTGCTGATCTTCCTATTTGATGGGGCTGATGGTGAATCAGGACCCAGTTCCACGGGCAGCCATGTGCCTCTGAGGTCTGGCGCGCTTGCCACCCAGGTCCACTGTTCCAGGCCGGCCTCTGTTTCAGTTCGGGTCCCTCCTGGGAGAGTTCTCGGGGTTGGGGTGCGTGCAGCAGACAGTACTGCCTTCCCCTACCCCAGCCACCGGGTGGGAGTGAGCTGCTGCCTCTGGGTCCCCTGTGTGCTGTGGGCACCTCAGCCCCAGAGAATCCGCTTTCGCTGTAGCTTCAGCCAGGCCTGGGGATGTTCACTGAAAGGCGAATTCCTTGCCCTTTGCAGTTTTCTGCGTATGCTGACGTCGCCACACAAAGTGTGTGTAGGTGTATGTACAAATAATGCAAAGGCAGCAGCCAGAGACAAAACTGTGTTCACCCAGTTCTAGGAGAAACTGCTCATTTTGCTTGGGGTGAGACCAGAGTTGAAACACCGTCAGCCTAATGTGCTGGACTCGGACACTCCTTTCTCCCCAGGCGAAGCCCAAATGGCCCGTAGCGTGGGCTCAAGGCCTCTCTGTGCGCCTCTTCCCTCTTCACTTCTCCCTGCGCTGCAGCGCCAAGCTCCTGATTCTGATAGCTGGCGGGGCGTCCTCGCTCCCGCCCTCATTCCGGGCTGTGGAAATGAGGGCTCTGTATGGGAAAGTCATGTCTAGACAGATGCCACTTCAGGACCCCAAAGACTTGAGAGTTCTCGGGGAACAGATCCCAAAAAGCACAGCTGAGAACCAGCTCCGTGAGACTTCAGGCTCTCGCCCTGGGACTTAACGAGGCTTCTGCGCTTCTGATCATCCACATGACCAGCCTAAGGTGCTCTTCGCTGGGCCTTGGGTAATGTAACGGCTGTAGAGGCAGATCCGGCCAGAGGCCCTTTTTGTGTGTTTCACTCACCGTAACCCAGTGCGGGGGAGATGAGCCTTCCTGCTGGCTCATGTTTCATCGTCTCCCAAGACAAGACGGGAGATGAACACTGCTCTCATTCACTCGGCTTGAATGGGGCACCCTCTCTAGTGGAGAGCACAGTTAATGATTTGAATGGGGACCCAGGTACTCAGTCCGACAGGAAGTGGCCCTCACCCTCGGCACCCGCTCTCAGCTTTCCGCCTGTGATAAGAGAGCGTGCTCTGGTGTCCTCTCCTGCTGTTATCAGTGTCGGGATGCAGCGGTTGGCCCGTCCGTCCGTATCATTCGGTCACCCGAGGCCAGACTCGGAGAATGTCACTGGGGCTATCGAATCAGGTTGAACTGCTCAGGTAACAGCGTGAAGCATTTGGGGAAAGGGGTTCTGATTCTGCGAGGAGGCAGAATAGAAGCCTTCAGCTAGTTCTTCTGAGGAAGCAGGCAGGAAGGATCTCTCAAAGCTGCCGGTTTGAGTGTTGGTAGCGTGAACTGAGAAAGAAACAGGTTCCCACGGTGAAGTTGAAAGCTCAGTTTTAAAATTGGAGGCAGTTGTGAAAAGTGGTGAGACGGTCCAGGTTCAACTCTTTGGTAGCCGGGAGGCCTGGGGCAAGTCACATGACATGTCTCCTGTCCTGTTTCATCCCCTGTGAAAGGCCTGTCCCAATTGCCTGCCTCAAGGGTGGTCATGAGGATTACATGTGGTAACACGTTGTAAAATATTTAGTACCAAGTCCTAACCACTAGTAGACATGTAGTTGGTGTTAAGATGTATGCAGTTTGCAGCTGGGTAGTAATGAGCCACATTTGCTGTTGTGTGACATCATAGACTGCACTGGAGAAAGGAATGTTAATTAGGCAAAGTATTAATAGAGACCCCCCAGGACAAGCTGTTTGTCTTTCACACTCAAAGGGAAGTGGGCCCTAACCAGTTTGGCTCAGTGGATAGAGCATTGGCCTGCGGACTCAAGGGTCCCGGGTTCGATTCTAGTTAGGAGCATGTACCTTGGTTGTGGGCACATCCCAGTGGGGGGTGTGCAGGAGGCAGCTGATCGATGTTTCTAACTCTCTATCCCTCTCCCTTCCTCTCTGTAAAAAAAAAAAACAACAATAAAAATATATTTAAAAAAAAAGGTGGTGGTGGGGGGTGAGTGGGACGTGATTGATCCCTGTCTGATACAGTAGACGTGCTTGGGGTGTGGTTTTTGTCCATTCATTTGTTAGTTTTTTTGAATGCAGTTTCCTCACTGGTGATGTGAAGCAAATGTGTACTTTGCTGGCTTTTGGGGGAGCTTGAGTTAAATGGTAACATATATGCAGTAACTGGCATAGTGCCAGGTCCATCATGGGAACTCAAGAGGAGAGAGCCGCCCATGTCACTATCATCTAAGCATTCACCTTTTCCCTCCAAAATAAAGGACAGGCCATTAGTGTGTCTCTCTCACTGGGTAATTTTTGTTTACCTTCTCTGCGAAAACTGAGGTAAGGTTCCCACACGCTAAGCACTGCAAAGAACAGAGAACAGCTCATAAACTCAGGAGTGCTGCAGCCCAAATGGAGTCTGTGCTACTGCCCTTTGGAGCCTGCGCTACTGCCCTTCGGAGCCTACCTCGTCCGCTCTGTTGACTGACGTTCCCATTGTCCTCTCACTCGCCACCCTGACAAGTGGCCTGGGCTGCCCGGCTAACCCAGCTTGCCCAACCCTGCAGCCTGCATACTTCTGCTGTCTGTGCCAAATCCTCATCCAGGAATAGCTTTCCCTTTGCTCCTTCCAAACCCCCCTCTCAACCACCTTAGAACACAAACCATGAGGCTTCCTTCGCTCCAGTGAGCCCTCGATCCTTCCATGCATGCGTTTACTATATCTTGTATCTTCCCATTGTCTTCAGATGGTAACTCCTTAATTGCAGAGACTCTTTCCTGTTCCCTCTGGAAAAATATATAATCTGCTTTCCGTTTTTATGGGTGCCTAATCAATATTTATGGGCATTTGAGGCTTTAGAGTTCCTTTTTATTTAAAAACAATTTATGAAAATTAAAATCTTGAAGTGAGAGGAAAATCGCCATAGCTCCACTATCCTGGCATACTTTTATTTTCGTATATTCTTCTTTTTTTAATTAAATCTTTATTGTTCAGAATATTACAGTTGTTCCTCTCCCCCGCCCCCCCATAGCTCCCTTCCACCCGGTTCCCACCCCACCCTCTGCCCTTACCACCCCCCCCCCCACTGTCATCATCCATAGGTGTACGATTTTTGTCCAGTCTCTTCCCGCACCCCCCACACCCCTTTCCCCTCAAGAATTGTCAGTCTACTCCCTTTCTATACCCCTGATTCTATTAATATTCACCAGTTTATTCTGTTCATCAGATTTTTTATTCACTTGATTTTTAGATTCACTTGTTGATAGATGTGTATTTGTTGTTCATAATTTTTACCTTTACCTTTTTCTTCTTCTTCCTCTTCTTAAAGAATACCTTTCAGCATTTCATATAATGCTGGTTTGGTGGTGATGAACTCCTTTAGCTTTTTCTTACTGTGAAGCTCTTCATCTGACCTTCAATTCTGAATGATAGCTTTGCTGGGTAAAGCAATCTTGGTTGTAGGTTCTTGCTATTCATCACTTTGAATATTTCTTGCCATTCCCTTCTGGCCTGCATAGTTTCTGTTGAGAAATCAGCTGACAATCGTATGGGTACTCCCTTGTAGGTAACTGACTGTTTTTCTCTTGCTGCTTTTAAGATTCTCTCTTTGTCTTTTGCTCTTGGCATTTTAATTATGATGTGTCTTGGTGTGGTCCTCTTTGGATTCCTTTTGTTTGGGGTTCTCTGCGCTTCCTGGACCTGTAAGTCTATTTCTTTCATCAGGTAGGGGAAGTTTTCTGTCATTACTTCTTCAAATAGGTTTTCAATATCTTGCTCTCTCTTTTCTTCTGGCACCCCCATAATTTGGATGTTGGTACACTTGAAGTTGTCCCAGAGGCTCCTTACACTATCTTCATATTTTGGATTCTTTTTTCTTTTTGCTTTTCTGGTTGGGTGTTTTTTGCTTCTTCGCATTTCAAATCTTTGACTTGATTCTTGCGATCCTCTAGTCTGCTATTGGATCTCTGTATAATATTCTTTATTTCAGTCAGTGTATGCTTAATTTCTAGTTGGTCCTTTATCACAACCTCGAGGGTCTCACTAGATTTATCAGGGGTCTCACTAAATTTATCGGCGGTTTCTAGAAGATTCTTGAAAAACCTTATAACCATGGTTTTGAACTCTATATCCAGTAGTTTTCTTTCCTCCATTTCTGTCATTTATGACCTCTTTCTTTGTCTCCACATTTTGCCTGCTTCCCTGTGTTGACAGAGTGGCTTTCTGTGCTAGGTATCCTGTAGGGCCCAGTGGCTCAGCCTCCCCAGTTACCTGAGGTGGACACTCTTGGTGCACCCCTTTGTGGGCTTTGTGAACAGTCTTGTTGTAGTTAAGCCTTAATTGTTGTTGGTATCACTGGGAAGAATTGACTTCCAGGTCAATTGGCTGTGAGAATCAGCTGTGTCTATGATGAGAGAACTTCTGTGCTGGAGACACCTTTATGGGACAAGACTTGCTTCAGTGGGGCTTTGGTGCTCACTGAGTCTGCCCCC